AGTCCCTCCCCCTCTACATTCTTTTAGAACTAATTCTTAATTTTCCTTTTTAACCCCTGCCTTCAAAACTCTTTACAAATTGAGTCCAAATTTTACCATTTAGCCCTTAGCTTCCATCATCTCTTCTTATTAAGTCCCAATAATTACCCCATAGCCCCTGCCTTCATAATTATTTACGAAATTAGTCTGAAAGTCACATTTTTAACCCTCAGAAATCAAAAGTATATTATTTGGCACCCCGAAACCAACCCTCCACTAATTATTATCTGATTTTTGGGCTATAATAATATAACATAATAATATTAAAATTACTTCTCGGGGTTCCGGGTTCATCATTAATTATCCTATTTTAAACAGGATGTTACAACTCTCCCCCACTTAAATTTGATTTCGTCCTCGAAATCGTTTCTTATCATTTCTTACACGCCAAGCAACTTAAGCTACGTGGTCACAACCCTGGGTACACCCTAGCCTTTCCAAGGCAACCCAAATCATCCCTCGCATGGTTCTAAATCTTGAATGTAAACAAACCTTTACATTAAATACATCTTCCTAGTCTAAAATCTGTAGTCTCGAGATGGTCTGAATCCTTGACAAACCACTCATACCCAATCATTATTGTTGAGCCCAACCTGCTTGTATCTCATCTAACTATTCAACTCCTAATATATAGGAGGTTCTACACCTAGATACTTCTCATACACCTGAAGACCCAATCGTCAATACCGCCTTAAACACGGAAACTGTTTGAACACTGCTTTGCCTAAAGCAGTATACTGCCACATGGTTGCATTTCTAAAATCTACCGAGACCTCCATGGTCTCAATTCGTTCACCAATCATATGATATACTGGGTTCCGGCCCAGTCGCAAAGCTAAAGGAATTCCACATAGTTGCCTCACACGACTTCCGAACGAAATCCTTCCCTGGAGCTAATTGCCACTAGTTATCATGCCATTGCGAATCTACCATCCTCCTGATCCATTTGTCGAATGTTGTCGTTACCAAATCCACGGCTAAAAACGATTGATGCATGACCAATGGTATCCTTACATCCCAAGCAACCTTAAGCAATAAATTGCTTCCTTGGTCTCATATATGTAGTGGCGTCCATACAGTCTTATCACTGGCTTAACCAGGTCTTATCCCTCTAGAGAAACCCATAAACCAATCTATGGATTTCCATATCCTCACTGCTACACCCAAACTGGTGGTTACTACTGCCCCTTCCACGTCCTAGCAACGCGCTCATACTATCTACCAACCTAGCGAATGTTGTGGCTACACCCACAAACTTACATCACTCTAGCACTATTTTCTAACCTTGTGAATGCTACAACTACCCCCGCAGTCTTACAAAACTTTCCATACTACATGATCGCTAGTGAATGATACGGCTACCCCCGTAGTCTTACAACACTCCCCATACTAACTAATCGCTAGTGAATGCTACGGCTACCCCCACAATCTTACAACACTTTCCGTACTAACTGGTCGCTAGTGAATGCTACGGCTACCCCCGCAGTCTTACAACACTTTCCATACCAGCTGACCGCTAGTGAATGCTACGGCTACCCCCACAGTCTTACAACACTTTCCATACCGGTCGAACACGAGCTCGACCTTACACACCACCGAACTTAATTCATGGCTAGAATCCCAACCTGATATCCCTAAGTTCAGCTAGCAAGCACCGAGAAGACGCGATTCACATGTTGGGGAGTTTTACTGAACTCCCAACTCCCACAACACTCAAACCAAGCAGCAACTAGGGTTGTCTTCCTTCTTGAAAATGATAGGAAACTTATCCCAGTTTCAAAATCGATCCTGCTTCTGCATCCTGGGACTATTCTCCCCCACTTAGATTCAACTAAGTCTTCACAATACATGAAAATTTGAGAATTCCCAATCCTTCTCACTTTCCAACAATCGATCTGACGACAACTAGACCCTTCCAACTAGTACTCATTTACTAGCTAACCCTAAATGATCACACGTTTCTAATAACTAGATGAACACTTCCCAAATCCCAGGGAACCAACAGTCCCTAATGCTTGAATGATCCACACCCAAATCTTGAAATCCAAAGATAGACGCTCCAATTAATGTCTCAACGACGAGCTACTTCCCTTGGCGCTTTCCTTCGCCCATCAATAACGGTTACTAAAACCACTGCATCCTGCCAATGCTGAATAACTATCCCGTGGGACCCTATCCGAAGACCTCCCAAGTAATACCTTCTTCCCCAAGTGCTCCAAAAAATCTCCCGCTCTCGGCTTTAGAAATCATATCATTCAGGGTCTCACACCCTGACGCACTCACCAACTTAATCATCCACAATCAATCCCAAGACATAGTATACAATCCCAAAAGTGCAATAGATCGCACAATCAATCCTTACCGCCCGATACCAGAGATCGAAGGCGAACTGGACCTCACAAAATACTTATGCCACATCGACCTACCCGCGCTCACCAGCGCTGAACTACTGTCACTACTCTCGACGACTATCTGAACCCAAGCTGGAAATATGTAACGCCCGTGTTTCTGGGCTTGTCATCATTAGCGATGTAAATGTATAGGTTAACCTTTGTAACCCGTCTTGAAATAATAAAGATGTATTATTTGAGTATTATGTATTTTGTGCTTAGTTGTGTGACTTAAATGAGTTAAGGATAAAAATAGCTGTCAAAATGAAATGTTAGATAAAGCCGATATCTATGGATAAAAATTGTAGTAGTTGAAACAAGGATTCTGAAGATATAAAGAATGCCGAAATCCGAGTTATAACGAAGAAGTTATGACTTGTCGAAGTTTCGCGACAGAACCGACAACGTTGAATGACGTAAAAAGTGAAATTTACGTTAGAACGGTTTTTAGCCGACACAATCTAAATGAGAATCGAAGATCTCGTCAATGGTAGTGCTGTTGGATTAGTGTCTAAGTCCATAACTATTTTGGTATGTACTTGACCCGATTGTGCATGGTCCTTTTGGGTTGCCTTCATCAAAACAACTTGATAGGATGAATTATGGAGAGAACGGATTAAATATGATTTATTAATATATTATGGGAATAATATATTAAAGGAGAAATCATATTGTTTAATTAATATTAGTCAATAATTAATTGGTAATTAGTTTTGTAACTAAAAGAGATTAATTAAACTTAAGGGACTGGAATTGTAATTATAAGATAATTGGAATTTAGGCCATGGATTGCCTTATATTATAAGGTGGACGAATTCTATGGGGGAAGCCCATATGAAATCGTCCAAGGCGTTAAGGAAAGGGCTCCATGGGTTGCTTAGGGCTTAAGCATCCAAATTAGGGTTTCCTTTTTAGATAACCCTAATTGCCTCACTATATATAGATCCCTTGAGGACAAAAAACGTGGCTAAGCTTCTTGCTAGGGTTTCACACGAGTTTTGGTAGCCTCCATCCTCTCTCCTCTTCATCCTCTTGCTTATGGTGTTTGTGAACCATTAGAGGAGTGACATTTGTGACTCTAAGCTTTCTAAAGTCAATACAAGGAGATTTGGGATTGTTATTGCTACATAACAATCAAGGTATGATCTTAAACCTATTCTCATGTTAATATGATTACTTGAATGCTAGAATTAGGGTTTATAGTCTTGGATAACTTGCATGTACAATAGAGAAACCTAGATCCAAGCATTAGGGTTTGTATGAGCACATAGGATGTTCTTATGAACAAAACCCATCAGTGGTATCAGAGCCTTGATTGGTTTCTATTGTATTGATGCATATTTTATCGAAATCAGCTCTGAAAATCGATTTTTTGAGCTTCTGAGTGTTTGACTCGCCGAGTCAGCTGTACTCGACGAGTCCAGGTCCAGACTCGACGAGTCTAAGGGTCTGACAACTCAGATTCGCGATTTTCTTCCTGTTTTGGCTTTGGATAATTACCATAAACATGTTTTTGTTATAAAATCCGAAATTTTCCAATATTTGGTGATTATCCTTACCTAAATAGAAGATAATTATTAAAATTTAGATAATCACTTGTTTTATTAGATAAAGTTTGATTATTTGTAATTTAGATTTGAATTATCTTGTGAAAAAGTTTTAATTTTTCCCCTTTAGGTTTTATAGTTTAAATTTGAACTTAAAAGTTTTGTTTTGAAATTTAAATAGTTGAAACCCTAATGTTTTGAAAAAAGGTTTCAAAACTTACCCTCAAGTTTTGGAATTTAAATTTTGATTAATAGTTTAATTGTGATGTATATTTAAATTCTAAACCCTAATGTTTTGAAATGTTTCAAAACTTGCCATCAAGTTTTGGAATTTAAAAGTTAATTAAAAGTTTAATTAGGAATGTTAAATTCTAAAACCCTAGTAATGTTTTGAAAAGTTTAATTCACTCCCTTATGGTTTTATTAATTAATTAAGGTGTATAATTAAAAGATGTTTAATAAATCCGTAAAAGTTTTGGTTTGCAATTTAATTGAATTAAAAGTATAATTGTTAATTTTGACCACTTAGTATTTTAAAAGTGTAAAATACACCCACTACTAGAATATAGGCCTTTAATGACACGCAAATCATGACACTCAGTGGTTTACGATACGCAAAAGCGTGTGTTCTAAAAATAATGTCATCTCTTCTAAAATTTAAAGGATTTAGAACACGCATTTTTGCGTGCCCTTAAAATTAGTGTACGAACAAAAAAAATTAAAAACACGGAAGACACTCAGCATAATAGGTGTATCATCTAAGCATGTCGTTTTATAAAATTTTCATCAAGCACGCGTTCCCCATCTTTAACAGATGAGGGGGAAATCAAATCCCAAAAAATTAAAACCCCCGCCTTGTTTCTCATCTCCTACCAGCGGAAAGCCCCATTTCTTTTCCTTGACCTAATTTATCAAGCTCTGCAAATTCTATGGCCACTTTAAAATCTATAGTTGAATCGGATCCAACCATACCTTTGCCCAAAATTCTTTAGATATGGTGTGCCTTCATCTTTTATCTTCACATATGGCCCATCTTCACATAATCAACAAAGATACTAGGGCTTTGAACCGGACCTCACAAAAGCCTTGGTGTTCACAGCAGCTTCTCACGCTTACTATGCGTCTCTATTTCTTCCTCTCACACCGGCGATTTAGGGCCATCCCTCTTTCATATCTTCTGGTTGCTAGAGCCTGCAAGTTATTAAAGAAACACAAAATCATCATATTCTTATCCTCTTCATGTTCTCTTCCGCCGACCACCCTAAGCCGGTCAAAAAACCCTTCCGTTGGAAACCCTAAGTCGTCGCCGTCTAAATTAGTTCCTCCATCGCCCACCAGGCGTGTTCTTCTCCAACATCAAGTAGCACCAACCACGCATTCTGTTACTCCATATACAAATTCTTTTTCCTCCAACCCTCTTGCCGACCACCCCTTCTCCTCCCCCTTGCCGGTACTCTTCTAGCCCTTTATTTTTTTTTTCTTTTTGAAAGCAGATGTATGTTTGGTGAAAGAAACATTACCTTTATGCAGAAATTAGTTGTTGAATGTTTATATATAGATATGTGTATATCGTTTGCTCCCTTTCATGTTCTTTTCTACATTTGGCACAAATGTTGATAAGTTTTCTCAGGTCCAAGTACATGAAAATATTTTAAGCTAATTCTTTTGGCTTAATTCTATGCAAAACATCTCATTTATGGTGCAAAACACCCCAGTTGGAAGAACAAGAGTTTCAGAATCTAAAGAGGTTATGGAAAGTATCAGTAACCTCTCAAGATCTTCGGATGATTGGCAATATATGGGGATCGACTGTCTTCTGTTACTTCTTCCTATCAGGTAAGACCTACGTATCTCACATTCTCTGACTTTTGTGTTATTACATGTGTGTAATTGGTCATTTGGAAATATAGTTCGTCTTTTCTAACAAAAATATCAAATGAATTCGCCAAAAGGAAGAGATTTTAAATTTTGATGGTTAAATGAACCAACATTGAACATAAACACTGAAATCATTTCTGAAACTTCTAAAGCATAGTAATCAAAACTAAATAACCAATTATAAGAATCAATACGAAATAAACTAAATAAAACTTGAGAAAACGCCATACACTATTACATACCTGACTACCTATGTTTGACATCGGAAGTCAAGGGTATATATGATTTTTATTTAGAATAAAATGTCTAAAACAGAACAATATATCATGCAGGCAATTTTGTATTCGAACTTTTTGCAGGGTTATATACCATTTTAGAAGACCCTGTTATCAGAAAAGATGGAGATACTAAAATAAAAATATACACACAGTTTAACCATAATGGTGGGCCACTTTGTATATGTTTCGACAACTTAGTCCCCACAAAGCTTTTCATCCAAAAATGGTAAAAAGCAAAATCTCACAATGCTATGCTCTAAGTGTAACGTGTAAGCTTTTTGACAGCAACAAAGCAACAGGGACAGAAAACTGAGGAGAGGAAAGGAAGAACTAGTAAAATACAGGCACAAGCATGTATAATTGGCTACATATAATCTATCAAATGTATGTTTTTTTTGTGTTTTTATCATTTTTATTTTGTTTTTCGTGTTTCCATGAAGTTCTTGAATACCATGTATGTACAAATTCAATCTACCTTCTGAATCACCAGGTTTTCTATCTTTTTTCTCTTAACAGTCAAGTATAATTTTTATGTTTACTGTTCTAATGCTTTAATTTTGATTTGGATGAAACCTATGTTGATAAAAAGTTATATGTATAGATTTTGGTAAAAGATTAACTTATCGCCCAATATCTATTGAAACTGGAGTCATTGCTCAGGTAAAAACCTTTTCAAATTCTTTTTTATTTAATAAAAACACTTAGTTTATCTTCTTAATGAGCTTAATTAATGACAGGCATATGGTTCAGCAAGAGTGAAGATGGGTAAAACTGAAGTCATACCTTTGACTTGTCGTCTCAACTTGTTGACCATATCAAACATCACTGCTGGAAACAAGGAGCAGATTCAGGTCATAATTTGAAATTTTCATCAAGATTTAAACATCAAACATTATTTTCTTGACTGATATATCTACTTTATGATTTTTACAGACATTCATTGAAGCAAATATCATTGGCCCTCTTATTCATCTGCTTCAAAATGAAGAATTTGACATCAAAAAGGAGGTTGCATCAGCTATCTCAAATGCTACTTCTGGTGGAAGCCATGACCAAATCAAGTGGGATTCATAAACTTAAATTTTCATTATAATTTGTTTAGTATTTACATCTCAAAAGCTATATATTTATTGATAATAAAATGGTGGATGCAGGTATTTGGTAAGTGAGGGATGTATTAAGCTTTTGTGTGATTTACTGATATGTCCAGACCCAAGAATATTGACAGTTTATTTAGTGGGGCTCGAGAATATATTAAAAGTTGGTGAAGAAGAAAAGAATTTGGGAAGATCAGGGGATGTGAATCTTTATGCACAGATGATTGATGATGGAGAAGATTGAGAATTTACAGAGTCATGATAACAGTGAGATTTATGAGAAAGCAGTGAAGCTTCTTGAGACTTATTGGTTGGAGGAAGTGGATGATGCTATGCCACCTGGCGATGCAGCTGCTCCTTCTGCTGGTTTCCATTTTGGAGGTGGTGATTTTCCATTCCTTCTGGTGGATTCAACTTTAACTGAGGTAGGTAATAATAATATGTGTTCTTTTGAATACCTTTGGAATGGAATGACTGATTCCGTCGGAATTGAAAAAACATCATGTTTGGTTTGAATTTCATTCCATGAGGGAGGGGTGTTTTTTTAATACATTGAAGGAAAGGAATGATAATGTTATACTTAAAAATTAGTTTTATTTGTATTATCTATTTTTCTTCAATAAGAAAAATCTTTTTATATTTTTTCTTAAGTTTCAATCAAATCAATCTTTTTCCTAATTAACGTCAAAACAATTATTTAATTATGTTATGTTAAGATTTTATGGTATATAGTTTTTTTTTTTATAAACATTTAAGAGCTTTTTTATTTGCTATTTGAAATAACATATACAGTATATAATAAAATGGTTCATTCCATTGGAATGAAAAATAAGTTTTTTTTCTTGATGGAATGGAATTTGATCTTTTTTTATAGAAGGTAATGCTTTCCATTTTGTTAAGTTGGGGATGATTCTTTTATTCCATTAGTTTTTTAATATTTTTGAACTTTTTTTTTTATCGATTTACAATATTATTTTCTGAAAATAACTAGATATTAATTCTATCTAGGTTGTAATCAGCTTTTGTTATGTTTGTACTTTGTTGATAGAAGTCTACATTAGGAAGACCAAGTTGTTCAACCCCTGACAAAGGAAACGTTTTTGTATACATCGATTGCAGTCCCACAGCAGCACCACAATACAAGGTTCAAATGACCGTTTTACCCTCACAAAATCTTTCAAAAATGTTTTTGTATGGCAGGAGTTGGAATCAATCTTTCATCTTTGTCAATTGTGGATGGGAGAGTGTGTTGGGATTTATATATTGATGGTCTTGCGATAAATATAGATGGGAATATACTTGATGGCGTCCTCTCACTCGTAAACTCAAAACATTTGTTGTTATTATAAGTCCATATCTGTGTGTTTAAATGCAAGAAATAGCAACCAACTTTAATTTATTTATTTATTATTTTGAAAATTATTCTTAATGCAGGCTTCTAGTTTTGGTTCAAATGGATGTTCTTCGATTGTTTCTTCATTCGAAACACCGTGTCCCCAAAACCCTTCAGGAAAGTCTAATCTTCCAGGGTAGATGTCTTTGTTTCCACAACAGATCTAGATAAAGAACCACCTAATGCCCAATTTCATACAGGTAATGGCCAATGGGATGAGTATTTTTTTCAATGTGAAATTAAATCCCTTTCCATATACTAAAATTACGATAATGTCGTTTTTTTAGGGCATGTACAAATTACGGCTGGAATATTGGAAAGAGTTAGATTTGTATCGTCAGCTCTACTTGGTAATGTCATTTGGTGAAGAAAACTTCTATTTTGGGGTCATCCACCCATCTTAGGTCTATGGGTGGTCAAACTTGTAGTCATTGCTTTGTTTGTTGCATTATCATTGGCCAACATTGTAAGTTTTTTTTTATTCGAATATTCTTAGTCTGTTTTCAAATAATTTTTCAATTCACACCTCTCTAATATTTTTCAATTTTTCATCTTAATTACTTATAAGGTATTATGTACAAGGATTCAACCTGGTTGAGAACAACAAATAGTTCTGCTGCCTCGAGACTCATATCTTCAGGTATGATAAGCTTCTGATACAACTATTTATAAAAATTTGAGCTTATGTGGTAATATGTCAACAGTTAAAACATTTTTAAAATATCATTTCTTTTGCAGGGTTATTTTAATAATGTCTCAGAGTATCTCAGAATTAGTCCACCTCTATATTTTGTTGTGAAAAAATATAATTACAGATATACTTTTCTGTTCTTCTTAATGCACACTTCTGGTGAAGTTCATTTCAACTTGTAATGTAGACTAAAAGTTTTTTTTTCACATTAATTTTTTCTGTTTTCTCAGTTTGATCAGAATCAAGACATACAAATCAATTGTGCTCCATCAATCATTGTGATGCAAACTCCCTTTTAAATGAGGTATGAAAGTGTTGATTACTTGGGGAACCGTTTGGTTGGATTGAATGGAATTATGATGAAAGGGGTAACGGAATGAGTTGTTAATTCTATTCTGAATACTAATGTGTTGATTATGAAAACAGGTATCATGTGGAAACAGAAGCATAACAATGAGAAGTAGAAACAAGGTGTCCCTTAGCAATGTAGTATTAGGTTATATAGTTAGGGAAAACCTCTTAATAACAATGTACAATCAGATCCCCTTAATACTAATGTATTACAATTTTTTGACATGATGTTATTGGATGAAATTGATTGTTTTGATCTATATTTGTTTCCACATTTTTGTCTTATACGTAAATGACTATCGTAAAGACGTGTCGCAAATGTATATCGTAAATGGTTGTTGAAGTTTATGACACGCAAATACGTGTCATCTTTATTTATGATGGGCTTTAATGATACGCAATGCGTGTCGTCTTCCTTTACGATACGCAAATGCATGTCGTCTTCCTTTATGACAGAGCCTTCCTTGATACGCATTGCGTATCGTAAATGCGCGTCGTAAATGAGCGTTGTAAATGCGTGTCGTCTATAGACGACGCACAAAAGCGCGTCGTCTCTCTTTATGACAGGGCCTTCCTTGACGCGCATTTGCGCGTCGTCTGAGCCTTTTACGACGCGCAATGAGCGTCGTAAAAGGCTGTTTTTTCTAGTAGTGACCCTATATTATATATAACATTAAAAGTCTAACATCATATATATGTATGAGTAAAAGTCAGTCTTACCGTTAGTAGGCCTCATTCACGAAGCTGGTCTATAAGGGGTGTTTAAGGAAATTGCCTATAATATGGCGATTGAATGAGTATCCACTCTTACCCACCGCACTCTTGACTAGTGGAGGGTTGTTAGCCGAATGGGTAGGATAGGACGAAACCTTCCATTATAAGTATAATGAAATATAAAAGTAACTAAATGTTTTTCAAATCCCTAATCTTAGTTACTTAGGCAAAAGTGAATTGATGCAATTCCATGAAATTACACTTTGTGCCCTTGCGAAGACGTTAATGGAGCGTGTGTGGTTTACCGGCACATTAAATGGTTCTAAGCAAAGGTAGCAAAGGGTGACTCAATGTTTGTCATAGTTCGGTGGAGCGTGTGTGGTTTACCGGCACATCGAATAGGTGATTGTAACATGTGAGGGCACCATGTAAGTTTGCATGGTTATTCACACCCGCTTTGTGATCCTCGGCATCCCAGTCACAAACAAGAGGGGCATATCGAGATTTAAACATGCCATTGAAGTGTTCAATGAATCTTAAAGGGGTCTAGGAGTTTTCATAGATTTAAAACTTAAATTTCTTTTTCGTTTTTCATGGTGGAAATTAGTGAATCGTCATTCACTTACCTTCAAATGTTCTGCAATTTGGGTTACAGCATCCCTCTCCCGAGTTGTAGAATATTGTGTTGGGTCCTAGCCTTAGTATCTCATTTGGGTGATTTACTAAGGACTCAATCAATCAACTAACTTGAATTCGTTTTCTCCCATTTTGTAGATGTCAAAGTTCGACAACTATGGTCTTCCCAAATCCCGTGGAACAAGCTTTCCACATGAAGATGATATTCCACGATTCGATCGAGGAACAAGAAATCATGCTTCACTTCCTCCACCTCCTCCAATTATTCTCCCTAACCCACAAGTTCAAAGGCTTGAAAAGTTCAAAATCACTCAATCCCTTTTAGCAAGTAAACATAAATAAGGAAAGCCGGGGTGTGCACACGTCCTAGGGATGAACTCACACATTGATGGGTTAAGAATGTTGGGATCCGTTGTCTGTGAGGAAATGGCTGTTGATTGGGTTCTACAGTCACTTACTAACTCATATAGTGAGTTCGTAAGAGAGTACTATATGATGAACCGCGACGTGACCCTTATAGATCTCACCTATATGCTTATTGTTGCTGAATCAGCAATGGTTTGGCGCAATAGAAAAGCAAAGATGATTGGTGAATCTGCCTTCAAGACCTCAATGGATATAGACAATGGCAACGAAAGACATGCTATGATCAAAAAGTTTGATCATAAGAGAAAGGCAATGTCTGAAGTAGTTCCATGTCATGTTCCAAAAGAGTCAATTTGCTTTTATTGCCAAGAGAAAGGGCATTGGAGATGAAGCTGCCCAATTTACCTAAGAGATCTAAGAGATGGGAGATTCGAAACGTATGGCTCTAATATAGGTAAAATCTAATAACTAACTCTTTTAAGCCTCTATTCTAGATTCTTAATACATAATGTGATAAGATTACAATTGATGTTTTGTAGAATCGAAGAAAAGAAAGGAAGCTTAAGGGAAGAAGTGAGCAAAATCTAACCGTGAAGGAATGGATTTCAATCGTATTTCTCGAAGATTAGATTCTTGAGCTACTACTTAGAGTTAGAATTAGATTGCTAAAAAAGATGTATTAGCATAGTTTTTCAATGAATTGCATTGTAAGGACAAATTTTTCCGCATTAAAATAAATTTTGATTTATTTATTTATCCTTGCAATGGCATATATGAAAAATTGATGTTTGAATGTTTCTATTATTAGCAATAATGGATTTGGTTC